ACACTATTGTGCACTACGAAGGACAAATAGCCAAATTATAAAATTATACTTCATACACTATAGACAACGCGTATTTTGAAATACACACGTAGGAGAACACATGGCGAAAATGTTTCTGAGAATACTTTTACTTTGTGTACCAACAAACGTGTTTACATTCGTTCCCTGTCATATAAGTTTGAATTAAGGACAATGAACACGGCTAGCATCGATAAAAATCAGTCCCAAGAGAAAAAAAAAACGCTGCACAGCATGATCTGATTGCATTGTGAAAAACACTTTCAAAAATTGCATTTAGAATAATGAAATCGGTACCGAAGCAGTGTTGTGAACTTCTTATGTATTGTCTTGGTTCAACAAGTAAAGCCGATAGACAGTACTTGAGGTTGTAAAACTTACGAGCCATTTAAAACAGCCAAGGGCTTTTCCGAGTCTTGTAAAGCCGCTCAAAACTTAATATAAACAAGCTGCGCCCTTAGAACTGCAGCACGCCTGCCATACATCTATGCAACATAGTAGTGCTACTTCATGTCTATTCTAAATATGAGCGCTTTCTCGTTGCTAGTGTAAATACTACATATATCGGTAATTGAAAGTTCGTCATTCCTTCTGAAAATTATACGCTTCGCCGAGAGCTGATGCGGGAACATTTGTTCAAGGGGGTACCGAGTCCTGACCCCTTTATTAGGAGGTGAGTTTACTCTGCCATACAAATTTCCTGTATACAGATACGGATCTGAGCAAGTTTGACGCGCAGCAAATGCTATAACAATATATTTTAGTTTGATATTAAGGTCAATTTTCTCGCGACGCACCTACTGACATCGACACTAACTTGACGTCAGGCTACAGTACTAATACTGGTGACTCCACGCAGCAGCCTGGCAAGTTGTGATGACGTCAGGCGCCAAAAAAAAAAAAGGCAGCTTGAGCATCGCTTTCTCAATCGCCTACTCTCGTCCTGCCGTCAATGTCATCCAGCGTACCTATGAAGCGAGCTAGCGGAATCTGGAATAGTGCACGTGCATGCGAATAGAAAATATACGCTTATCAGAGGGCAACGTAATCGTTTGATTGCGAATTTGTCGTCATGGCGCCAATATTTTGCCCTGTGAAGTGTTGCATCAGTGAAACGGGAGACAGTAGGTGCAAGTTCCACCGATTCCCGTCTGATCCTTATCTGACACAAGCGTGGTTCGACTTCATGCGCCGCGGCCGAGACTGGATACGCCAACCACGCGGAGCTTCCCCGCACTTCACTCTGAACGCGTATACACGCGCAACGTGCAGTTACTTCGGATTGTCGACGAAGAACCAGTGCCTTAAATGTGATGTCATCCCAACGTTGTGCCCCCCTGCCACGATAGTTACCACACGTGCGACGTGCAGCAGACGATCGAAGAAGCAACGCGCGGACGAAGTTACGTCACGAAAACGTGCGCGTGCACATACTACCACCTGGTGGCGCTGCTCATACCATGTCGTAGAGGAAGTTAAGAGAGCCATAGCAAAACGTCAGGAAGCCTCTAGGGAACACAGACATGCTAAGCAGCGGGGTGAACCGGCAGATGATGTTCAAAGAAAATGGGAAATCTTTCTAAACTGTAGAAGGGATGCATCCCTTCTGATCAATGAAAAGATTAGAAGAAAGGGAGCTCAGTGGCTGGCAGAAGTACATAAAAAAGATAGAAAGGCAGCTGCGAAATTTGTGAACCATCTAAACTCCCTCAAAAAAATGAGACGAGCATAGAGCAGAGGTTTATAACTACAGCTCCAGGTGCTAGGCTAGAAGGGGACGAAGCTGTTGAATATATAAGAACAAGGGTGACAAAAAAGTTTCAACAAAGAAGTGCTTTATGCACCACAATAGACAAGGATGAATCAAGTGGTGCAATGGCTCCATTTTCACAACGAGAGTGGGAAAGGGCTGAGAAAAGGGTTCCCAGTAGTACGTCAACAGGCCCAGATGGCATTCCAATTATGCTGATAAAGACATTAGGTCCGAAGTCTAAGCAGGCTTTGAGAGAGGCAGTGAACAAAATAATAATCGATGGAGAAGTTCCCGATGGATGGAAACTTATAGCAGGATGAGCATGATCTATAAAGGAAAGGGGGACAAAGCTGACATAAACAACTACCGTCCTATAACAGTGACATCAGTGGTCTACAGGCTAGCGATGCAGATTATAAAGGAAAGAGTACAGGCATGGATAGAGGATGAGGGGGTGCTGGGGGAACTGCAGAATGGGTTTAGGAAACACAGGAGGTTGGAAGACAATCTGTTCTCACTGACGCAGTGCATCGAAATAGCAGAAAAGGAACACAGGCTCCTGTGGCTAGCATTTTTGGATATCAAGGGAGCGTACGATAGCGTGGTTCAAGAGTAATTGTGGGGAATACTGGACACACTGGGCGCGGAAGGTGTAGTCACTAATCTTTTAAAGAATATCTATTAAGGTAAAAGGTGATTATAAAGTGGGAAAAACAGGTATCCAAGTCTGCAGAGGTAAAACGGGGTCTTAGGCAGGGGTGTCCTCTGTCACCCTTATTATTCATAATGTACCTACAAGGATTAGAGGCCAAATTAGAGAAAAGTGGACTGGGCTTCAACCTCTCTTTCGTCAAACAAGGAAAACTCATTGAACAGGCACTACCAGCATTGATGTACGCAGATGATATAGTGCTAATGGCCGACAACAAGGAAGATTCGCAGAGATTGGTGGACATCTGCGGTAATGAGGGAGATAGGTTAGATTTCAGATTCAATCAGGAAAAATCAGCAGTCATGATTTTTAATGACAATGAAGGTAGCGAGCTTAGAATACAGGAGGTCACGCTAGAGATAACAGATAAATACAAATATCTGGGCGTATGGCTAGGCAATGGGGCCGAGTACCTAAGGGAACACGAAACATACGTAACGACTAAAGGTAACAGGAATGCAGCGGTGATGAAAAACAGGGCACTGTGGAATTACAATAGGTATGATGTTGTGAGAGGAATATGGAAAGGGGTTATGGTTCCTGGTCTGACGTTCGGCAATGCAGTCTTGTACATGAGATCAGCAGTTCAAGCAAGATTAGAAATTAAGCAAAGTGGAATAGACAGGCTTGTCTTAGGAGCTCACGGGAATACGCCAAATCAGAGAGTACAAGATGATATGGGATGGACATCATTCGAGGGCAGGGAAGCTAGCAGCAAGAGAAATTTTAAGAAACGATTGAGAGAAATGGGCGAGGAGCGTTGGGCTAGGAACGTTTTCAGCTACTTGTACATGAGGAATGTCGATACAAAATGGAGGAAGCGAGCCAGAAAATTGACGGGTAAATACTTAGAAAAGAGCAGGGGCCAAACCAAAAAGAACTATCGGTTAAGAAGAAGGTGAGGGGAACGGAGATGAACAGACAGACAGATGCACGGACACGCGCACAGACGGACACGCGCACGGACGGACGCAGGGACGGACGGACGGACGCAGGGACGGACGCACAAGTGGGCGAATGCACGCGCGGAAGCACGGACGGACTGATGCACGCTTCACCCCACTCACCATCATTTAGTCTGTGGATATGCTGTGACACAGTTTTTATTGACATGAAATGCAATGAAACAGGCTACTACGACTACGACGACACGACCCGCGACATACGACCCACGGCGTAAATGGCTTTGCCCCTAAACGAAATAGTTGAAGGCTCCAGCAGCAACAATTGCGCACAACGTAGGCGCACATCTTCGCGCAATTGCAGCTTGTGCACAAGAAGCTATTAACAACAACGCATTTTGTGCTATCCAAAATGAACAAGTTAAATACGCCTGTACACAGCATGCCAATGAACGTGTATTCCACACGGTGCACTGGTGATCGCCATTAAACCCGATCGTGGTCAAATTTCTTGTGATTGGCGCCCTTCATCAGCTGACGTAAGAGAGTCTATCACATCAGGCTTGATAGCGATTGAAAGTGCCCGTGTGACAGTGCTTTAAGTTATAACTCTCGAAATGCTGAAATGGCATGACTTACGCTGCACAAACAGGAATGGTCCGTGGGTTGCCACTTGTCGCGCTTGGCCTCTACAAGCCACAAGAGTCGCCCTTTCGGATCTTTCGGGAATTTAGACATCCTGTGGCCATTTTGAGAGTGGTTTGTGCACCATGGCACGCAACACCCGCACATTTTGCCCGAGAAAACGCCGCGCATGTGTCTCACTCAACCAGCCGCTACGAGATGGAAAAAGCCGAATGGCGGCAGCCGACCAGAAGGTGGCACCACAGTACACCTATACACACGCTTATACACTACCAAAGTACGCCTATACACTACCTATACAGTACTAGTGGTGGCACTCACCCCTTCAAAGAGTGACTCCACCATTCATGGGTGAGTGTACCCAAGGGGGCGCGCGCATCGAAGAACCTGTCGTGACAAGCGAACCAATACTTTTCGGCCCAAATACGAAGGGGTAGACACGGTATGCAGCAACGTTACTAGATAGCTAGATGCAGTGCGTGTGGAGAGGAAGAGGAAACTGCCGAACACTTGATAATGTTCTGTAAAGGGCTTCACCCTATATAGTTCGGGATGATGGCGCATAGTTTTTCGAAGGCAAATATAAGCAGAGACTGCTGCGCCGCGCGGCGCACGAGCCACCCCCACACAAGAACGGCTGCTGCGCCGCACGAAAGTGACGTCATGCATTTTCCGGTTAGGCGCTTTGTTTGAATAGTCGGGAGTGTTTAGCGGTACGTCGAGACATAACGATAAAAGCCGTTAAAATTACGTCCAAACGAAAAAATGAACAAAAATGTTAGGTTTAGCGTGACAACAATACAATACCGGCTTGTTTGCCGTCTCAAACTGATCGGCAGCTGTGGCGTGTAAGCGTCGGTGGTATAGGATTCTGCTTTCGGCCACGGTAGTGAACGGACGCAGGATGCAGGGCTCCGTCGGAGCGGCTTCAGCGGCCCTTGAAGGCCGCGGTAACAGGTCAACTGAAGAATACCAAGTGATTCTGCCTCATCTGCCAACAGGACGCGTTGCCTTAAATACTGTGTTTTTGCACGGAGACGTTCGAGCGAGACCCTACAGGGTTGAAGACTTCAGAGACGCGCTGGGCCCCACGGGAGTGCTAACGGACATCATAGCACTCGGAGCGTACCAGATTAATCACGTCTGGGCGGTTACACTGAACGGAGAAGACGCGACGAAAAAACTGCTGGCCTTCAAGGAACTTCAGGTGAAGGGACACCGGTGTCTCATCGTTGATCCCCAGGACCGGCAGATAAAACTGCGTCTTCATTGGCTGCTTTACGGAGTCGCCGATGAGGATGTGCGGACGGCGTTCGCGGCCTTCGGCAATGTTGTCGAAGTGAATCGAGAGCGCTGGAGAGTCGACGGCGTCAGCGACAAAGCGTCGACGACGAGAACCGTGCTACTCAAGTTAAAGAGTGGAGTTACGGTGGAGGACCTTCCGCACCAAGTGCGCGTTGCAGGGGAATTGGCCCTAGTTGTGGCGCCGGGCAGGCCTATGCAATGCTTGCGGTGCAAAGGGACTGGTCATGTACGGCGAGACTGCAGGGTGCCACGGTGTTCAATTTGTCGGCGATTTGGACATCGAGACGCTCAGTGCGTCCGGTCGTATGCAGCAGTTACGAGCGCTGCAACGTGCGATGAGATCGAAGAGCAGACAATGGACGCCGCTGAGGCGGAAGACGCGGCTAAGGGGGCAGGAGACGCGGCTAGTTCTCTGGTTGAACGCGGGCCGGTTTCGCCTGAAGATTACGATACAGCGTCGGAACCCGAGGAGAAAGAAACGGCTGAGGCGGACACCAGCCAAGAGAATTCCACTGAAGACGCACAAAGCCAATTGGTGGACATGTCGACGCAAGCGGCGAGAGGACGCGACATGCCAGCGCATGGAACGACCCGCGGGATCAACACTAGCTCGGCGGTCAAGCGTTCGCTGGAGCAATCTGCGGGCACTGCTCACGAGGGCAAAGTTGAGGGACCACCAGCGAAGGCGACACCGGGGCGGCGCTCGGGCCTCAGAGCGAGGTCCAATCTACCTGTGGACCGACCGGTTGGCACTCCAAGGGACCAGCTAACTGATGCCGGACCACCGGATGGCCCCGGAGACGTCTAGCAGGGAGCTAGACGTACACGGTAAGCACCATGCTCCGGGCCTACCCCCTCCTTTTTTTTTTTTTGCGAGTAACGATGGCTAGTCACTGGGCATTGAGCTTTGCAACCTTAAATGTCCGAGGTTTGGCCTCCAGGAAAAAGCAGGCTCAAGTGTATCGCCTGTTAATTGACCAAGATATTGACGTGTTAGCCGTGCAGGAGACAAAGGTGGAAGGTGAGGAGGAGACCCGGAGCATGATGCTGCGGTTTACGTCTAAATATTATGCCATAGTTAGTCACTCAAATGGAACTTCGGCCGGTTATGTTCTTTTTGTTAAAAAGATTCCGGGATTGATTGTTGAAAGTCACTTTTCTTGTGACTCTGGTAGAACAGTGACTTGTGATTTTAGTACTAGCGAAATTGAATGGCGCGTCATTTGTGTCTATGCGCCGAACGTGGAGGCAGACCGAGAAACTTTCTTTTCGTTAATTAAGCAACATTTACGGACATCAAAACAGCTTGTTTTATTGGGGGATTTCAATTGTGTATTGAGCGCGAAAGATAGAATTAATAACCGCCATGTGCGAGACAGAAGTGTTGAAGTGCTCTATGACTTGCTGAATGAATCCGACCTGGATGATATTGCGGAGTGCCTCGAAGCAGGTCGCGAAGTTCGATTTACGCATTTTCAGGGAACCAGTCACGCACGTCTTGATAGGATATACATGGCAGGGGAGACGCTAGCTAAAAGCAATAGTTACACAGTCTTACCTGTCTCTTTCTCTGACCATTGTCTTGTACAATGCAACGTGGGACTTAAACAAAAAGAAAACAAATTTAGTTGGGATTTATGGAAGTTTAACGCTAAACTACTTCGGGATGACATTTTTAATAATTTTGTGATTGAGGGAATCAAGAACATTAAAGTGATCGGAGCCTGTAATGTTGGCGAGGAATGGGAGCTTTTGAAGCAAAGCGTTAAAATGAAAGCCATATCGAGATCTAGTACTCTAAAATATCAAGAATGAAAGAAAATGAACTCAGAACAACGCTTAAGAAATTGATAGCATTAGAAAGCAAGGAGCCCGGTGCATATAAAGAAGATATTCGAACGGTGAAACGACAAATTGAGCTAGTAGAGCAGGAACGCTACAGAGGAGCCCTCATTCGAGCGAGAGCAGAGGCGTGGGCTATGGGGGAGACTCCCACCAAGCGCGCACTTGGAATCGAGAAATCACGAGCGCGTCGTAATCACATCGACGAAATAGAGGAAAATGGAATTCTGCTAAATACTAACAGCACTATCGCTGAAGCTTTCTTTCGGTATTACAAGGGTCTCTTCGCAGCCGCATTAGTAGATGTTACGAAGTTCAAGGACACTTTCTTGAGCCGGATGCCGCAATTATCCCTCGAAACGAAAGAAGCGTTAGAGAGGCCTATAACCGTTTCTGAAATTGAATATGCAATAGATAGTCTCGCCGCTGGGAAGTCGCCGGGGCCTGACGGTCTCGGTGCGATGTGGTATAAAGCTTTTAAAACAGAAGTTTCACCAGTGTTACAAGCTGTGTTCAAGGAAGCCTACGCAATCAAAGAGTTACCACCTTCATTTGCCGAGACGCACACTATTCTAATACCTAAGACGGATGACAAAGCAAAATTAAAACTAGTTTCCTCATATAGGCCCATTTCGCTAACCAACACTGACTACAAAATACTCATGAAAGTATTGGCAGGTAGATTGCAGTCCGTAATCACTGGAATAGTTCGGGAGCACCAAACGTGTGGCATCAAGGGGCGCTCAATATCGATGAACACACACACAATGCGATGTGTCCTTGAGAGTTGCGATGCTTTTAATTCTCATGTTGAGGTCCTCTAGCTTGATTTAGAAAAGGCTTTTGACTGCGTTCCGCAAGATGTGTTATTTTCCATACTTGAACATGTCAATGTCGGATCAGTGATTACAGAGGGCATAGTTTTGGCGTATAAAAACTCTACTACACGACTAATTATTAACAAGATCCCGGGGTCTCCCAATAGGCTGGAACGTTCTGTACGCCAGGGATGTCCGGCAAGTCCACTCTTGTTTGCATTGTACATAGAGAGCTTATGCTTGGCCATAATAGAAAACGAGACCATCCGTGGTTTCAGACTGCTTGACGCCGAGGTAAAGGTTTTGGCATACGCTGATGATGTAGCAGTGTGTTGCACCACCAAAGAGAGTGTACAAGAGACAGTAGCCGTTGTTAAAAATTTTGGAGAAATTACAGGAAGTCGAGTTAATTGGGGAAGTGTCTGGGGTTGTGGCACGGAGACTGGACATCAACCCCAGATACCTATGCTAACGTTCACTGGTTTAATACTCCAGTAAAATATCTGGGCGTGCCTTACCAGCACTACAAAGACACCAATGATTACTGGACTGAACAAATAAAAGAAACGCGCGAAAGGACAGCGCAGTGGAATGGCAAGTGTCTCTCAATGTTCGCCAGAGCCACTGTATGCAACATATTTTTAATGAGCAAATTATGGTATGTGATGCAGGTTTTGTGTTGCTCACGGGTGCATGTGCAAAAGCTGCATAGGATATTTGCTGTGTTTATATGGGGGTCTACTTGGGAAAAATGTAGTAGGACAAATCTGTTCCGAAGAGTAAAACAGGGGGGACTAAGCCTGTCGCATCTGTTCGTGCGACAACTAGTTAATCGTTTTATTTTCTTTCGAGATGTTCAACACCCCTTCTTAAGAACAGTATGTCAGTTACGCCTTTGTCGTGTTCTGCCTAACTTTGTGGTTAGCACCACAAGCATGCCGGGAGCTACGCGAGGTTTCTTCAAGGAAGTTGCAGACAGTGTCCGGTTCTTGTCAGTTCGGTTTTCCAATGAATACCTTTCTTCGGTCGGGCGAAAGAAATTACATAAAGACATATGCGACATGATTTTTCCAGTGCCTATGTATAGGTTAATTAATAGCGGGGGAGAAGGCAATGATGTTCTTAAGCGTGTTAGAAAATGCAAATTCAGCCTAGTGCAAAAAGCTTTTTCTTTAAATTACACTCCGGAACACTGCCGGTTAAAACTTTTTTAGAAGATAGGGGATTTTATATGCCATGGGGTTCGCACTGTTTGATATGCCGAAAGCCGGAGACAATAGATCACGTTTTTCTGCATTGTTGGGAAGGGGTATACTTCTGGGATGTTTTACAGAGAACTCTAAAAAAGGAACTTCCCTTACATTCACTGGGTATCAGGTTTTTAACAGTAGAAAAAGAGGAGGGACTGCCTTTCGATCTTATAATGCTGCTTGGCCTCCATTGTCTATGGCGGGCAAGAATGGCCGGTTACTACTGTGACCCTGACAGGCGTCCGGCCCGTGTGCTGTTCCGCGAAAGCATTGCTCAGTACATTGATATACTCAAACAACAAGATTTTGTTCCGGAATGGCTCTCCAGGGTCGAACCCCTGGTGAACCTGAAGGAATTTTAGCACTGTAATCACTAATAGTTCGCGGCTTTTTTGTCATCACTTCTGTTTGTATGTTACTGTTTACAGTGACTTATATTGATGTGTGTACCTTGTGCGAAACCGGTAATAAAGAAAAAAAAAAGGCAGCTGTGGCGTAGTTGGTTAAAGCAACACATCAACTGGTGAGGTCGGTGGTTCAAGTCCCATTGCAGTTATTGATACTTTTTTTTTTTTTGTTCACGCATGTATTTTAACATTTGCGCCTCATCATCAGCCCGACTTGCTGCTGGTGGTGGTCCCGTCCACAGGCCCTTTAATATTGGATCTTCGATGACTCTTTGCAGGATTGACTATATTTATTATGATAAAGTGTTTTGCGAATTAGTGCTCTTAATCGGCGAGACGCAAAAAAGACACAAAAAAACTTGAATGCAGCTGGCTGCATTGGTTTCTTCGGCACAGGTGTCAGGAATGTTGATTTCCACGGTTCATCAAAGTTTTGATGACAGAAAGGTGCACTGCAACGTAGTCTCGGACAACTTTTTTTATGTCGCTCAGTGTACCATCACCTGACGAGGTAACCGGCACGCCGCTTTTTTTTGAAAAATACTGACGTGAAATACGCATGTACACAGCATGCCAATGAACGTGTATTCCACACGGTGCACTGGTGATCGCCATTAAGCCCGATCATGATCAAATTTCCCGTGATTGGCGCCCTTCATCAGCTGACGTAAGAGAGTCTATCACATCAAGCTTGATAGCGATTGAAAGTGCCCGCCTTAAGTTATAACTCTCGAAATGCAGAAATGGCATGACTTACGCTGCACAAACAGGAACGGTCTATGGGTTGCAACTTGTCGCGCTTGACCTTTACAAGCCACAAGAGTCGCCCTTTCGGATCTTTCGGGAATTTAAACATCCTGTAGCCATTTCGCGAGTGGTTTGTGCACCGTGGCACGCAACACCTGGACATTTTGCCCGAGAAAACGCCGTGCACGTGTCTCACTCAACCAGCCGCTACGAGATGGAGGAAGCCGAATGGCGGCTGCCGACCAGAAGGTGGCGCCACAGTCTCACAGAACACTTATACACACGCTTATACACTACCACAGTGCGCCTATACTCTACCTATACACTACTAGTGGTGGCACTCACCCCTTCAAAGAGTGACTCGACCATTCATGGGTAGAGTGTACCCAAGGGGGCGCTGACATCGAAGAAACCTACATGTCGTGACAAGCGAACCAAGACTTTTCGAACCAAATACGAAGGGGTAGACACGGTATGCAGTGCGTGTGGAGAGGAAGAGTAAACTGCTGAACACTTGATAATGTTCTGTAAAGGGCTTCACCCTATATAGTTCAGGATGATGGCGCATAGTTTTTTCAAAGCACTGAGTTTTAGTGACAGGGAGGGCAAAATAGACTTTAAGCGGGTAGACATAACTAGAAGGAGGTTATCTGATTGGTGGCTACAATCAAGGCACGAGCGAATATTAAATATTTCACTGCAATGTGCCCATGCTTAAGTCCGCCATTTAAAGGGAAAAAAAGG